CCCAACCATCACCAATCAATCATAGATAGGATCACTTCGACCTCGCTTTACTTAATTAGCCAGTTATTCCTTATTGATGATGATGATTATTATTATTATTATTTTTCAAAATCATTTGAAATTCTTGTAAATTTGCAAATACTTCATTTCTCAACATTTCTTTTTCACTTTCTTTTTTTTTTCCGAATTTTTTTAACATGCGTTGAATTATTCATTCTTTCTCGGCATTTCTTCTTCGAAATTCAAAAAGATATATATATATAATAAAAATTAAAATAATAATAATAATAATAATAATAATAATAATAATTTTAATGAATTCTTTTTCGAAATCCTTGTAATTCAAAATAGTTTAGAATTAGTTAAATTCTTTTTCGACATTTCTTTTTCAAAAACAATTCTAATTAATTCTTTTTCGAAAATTTTGAAACTACTTATTTCTTCCTCGAACTTCAAAAATAATAATTATTATTCAGTTATATTTTAGAATTAATTCTTTTCGTTCGAATTAGTTAATTCTTTTCCAAAAATTTTGAAAATACGTTAGAATTACTTAAATTCTTTTTCGATATTTCTTTTGGAGATTCGAAATTATTCTTATTAATTCTTTTTTTTCCATTCATAAAATTCCTTTTTGCCATTTTTCTTGAAATTCAAAAATTCTTTTTTTTCTTTTCGCAATTCTCTTTTTTTATTCAGAAGTACTTCCTTTTTTTTTCTATGAGCTCCTTAATTAATTTCGACTAAACTCGATTAATTCAAGACTGAATTAATCTCTTTTACTGGGAATTAATCACCCCTTTTCGAAATTATAAAATTTTACCCCGAACGTAAATCCGAATAAATTTCGTCGGAATTTATTTTTCTCGAAATGAATGATTATTTTTCTTCATTTGGAAATTCCTGAAAATTTTGCTTTCGTATTTTCTTGAAAAATACACTCGCAAATCAGTTTCGAATAAATTCAAATTAATTTACGCTCTTGCAAGGAAGATGAGCCATAGCGAACTTTTGCAATCAAACAACATCATACATATGAGTCCAGATAGTCGTGACCTCGAACCAACAGCACAATTGCATCACGAGATTCACCAAATAAGAACACACCAAGAGTTCATAATTGACAATGCTGAAATAGTCCCATCATCATCAACAACGAAGAACCAAAGTTGATATCCTATCTGGCGCTCGGCGCCCAGACTACATGTGGCAGATCCTATCTATCCTATACTACAATGCCGAAGTTGACGACAACAGCTCTTCGAAGTACGAGCATACAGCGACCAATGTCGCACGCTTCCAGCACCAGGTATGTCTCTCGCCTTACTCACAACCTCGTTCCCCAACACACAGATGCCACTTGCACCCAAGGACCACCCTGCGCCACACCCAGCTTACAGCAGCGCAGCTCGGCTATGGCTGCCTGCTCCGTCTCTGCTCGCTCGTAAGCGTGTAGGCGCCAGCCAGCAATTAGCGCAGCAGCGCTTGCGCAGCATGCAGCCAGCACCCGAATAAGGAATGCGGAGGCAAGCCCTTTGCTATATCGAAGTGGCCTGCTTGTGTCCAGTCCCACGAAGCTTCCAGTAGGCCCTGGTAGCCTGAGGCCCAGCACGATCGAGAACAGGCCTGGGGCCTGAGATGGTTGCACGCACCCAACTGCCTTTGCATGCGTTTGACCCAGTCCCCATATCCAGCCCAGGGCTTGCTTTCCATACATTCACACAAGCGGCCCAGGGCCTGGATTCTCTCAACCAACTGGCGCTGCGCAACTGCCTGAATTTCCATAGTTGTGCAGAGGCCGACATAAGGCCCTGAGGGGCCTCGTCGAGCCAGCCTTCACTTAGGGCGGCCGACAGGCTATCAAAAAGGGGTTGAATGGGCTCATAGAGGCAGTGGCCTCGCATTCCCTCCTCCTTAGCTTCAACAGTCCTCTGAGAAGCTCAGTCTTCGACAATCGGGCGCTTTCCTTTCTGAATAGTTTTCTCATAGTGGGCTACAACTTGCGGCGCGGTCTGCGTGAGTTCTTCACTGGTAAACCAACGGTCCTCCTTCGGATCAGTATGATGTCGCAACCGAACGCGATACTGCAGCTTTGGTTTTGGAGGACGTCCCCTGCCTGTAGTCTATGGAACTGGCAGCTCGCGGTGATCAACAACATTGTCGATGTCAACCTCTTTATCCATGGTTGGGGGCAGCATTGAACGACGAGATGGAAATTGATCTGTTTCCCTGAAAGGTGCAAGGTTGGAGGCGTGGAAGACAGGGTAACTGCGTAAGTGACCGGGGATGCGTATAACATAAGATGGGCCATCCGGTTCATTTCCCACGACATCCAATACTTCCCACGGTCCAAAGTACTGTGGCATAAGCTTGCGCGAGATCACGTGCTCCTGTCCCAGTTCTAAGGACTTAACCCAGACTCTCTCTCCCACCTGAAACGTAGAGGGGCGGCAGTGTTTGTTTTCATACTCTATCATCGCCGCCTGTGCCTTGTGCATCTGTTCAACAGCCTGCTGCATCAACTGTTCATATCGGTAAGCAAATTCTAAGTCCTAGGTGCAACGGTTGGCTGATTGTCAGGTAGTAGAAAGTTTAAAGGCAGTCGGGGTCTGAAGGTCAGTAGCAGGCTGTTAGGACTGACTCCGGTTGCGCTGTGCACAGCGTTATTGTACAAACTTGCAATGAGAGCAAGTTTCTCATCCCAATCTACCTCATTTGGCTTGATGTAGTGCCTTAGCAGGTGTTGTACAGCGCGGTTCATTTGTTCAGCCTGCCCGTTTGCCTCAGGATGATTGCCCGATCTCATCTGCAGCTGCATACCTTGCTCTGCAGCTGCTACTTTCCACGACTCGCTTGTGAATCTGATATCCGTGTCACTAACTATGGACTTACGTAATCCAAAGTCTCTAACCCAATTCTCTTTGCACATCTTAACGACATACTCTGTTTTAGCTGTTGCCGGCATCGCTACTAATCTAGCAAACTTACTAAACCTATCCACAATGACGTAGATGTAACGCATTCCATTCTTGCTGGTGATCAGCGTATCCATGATATCCATGGACAGGCTCTCACCAAGCTTTCCGGAATCGGAAGCGGCTTCAAAAGCCCAAGAGGAGCCTGTGTACGTGGCTTGTCTCTCTGACAGACTTGACAAGTCTCCACGTACAGCTGAGCATCTCGCATCATCGTGGGCCACCAAAACCGCTGCAGCAGATTAGCTGCGGTCTTTTTGTACCCAAAATGGTCAGTGGCATCATGACACTCACCTAAAAATAAACTACGCAAAGACTCGCTATTAGGAACACACAATCGTTTATTCCCTGCCTTCTCAAGGAACAGCAAGCCATTGATCAACTCAAACTCGGCAGAAGTCCTTTTGTCCTTCGCCTGAAGTCTGCGTATGATCTTAGACATGAACTGGTCCTCGCGATAAGCTTCCACCAAGGACTGAGTAACATTGTCCGTTAGATCAAACTCGGTAATTAGCGCACCTGAGAAATCAGGCCTACGCGACAAGGCATCAGCAACCTTGTTGTACTCCCCTTTGAGATACGAAGGGTCAAAGTCATACTGCTCAATGACTTCGATCCAACGCTTGACAGCGTCAGAGAGTACCGGTTGAGTTTCTCGTCCATCTCAGGGTCTGATGATCAGTCCTGAGGATGAAGAACCTCCCAAGGAGATAGTGCCTCGAATGGGTCAGAGCCTTGTAAACCGCATAGAGTTCCTTGTCATAGGTGGACTTAGCCAACTTCTGAGACAACATTTTCTTGGACATGTACTCTACAGGCCTCAACTTTGGACCCTCATGCTGCGCGAGCACGGCGCCAATGCCATATTGGCTGACATCCGTGGTAACTATAAACGTCTTATTAGGATCAGGAAGTTTCAAGACCTCGTAGTGCGTCAACGCATGCTTCGGATGCCTGAAAGCAGCCTCGCACTCATCTGTCCACTCCCATGGGTGTCAAGGCGGATCAGATCAGTCAAAGGAGCGGCCACTATACTATAGTAGCCTGCCATTCCTAAGAAAGATCTCATCTCAGTCACAGACTGAGGACGTGGCTAATCACGAATGCTGGCCACCTTCGCGTCATCGGGCTTCAACCCTTCCTCGGATATCTCATGACCCAAGTACAAGACACGGGTGCGGCCAAACTCGCACTTCTCACCGTTAATCTTGAACTTGTGCTGTCATAGGAGACCGAGGACTTTGTCCAAGTGCGCAACGTGTTCCTCGACAGTCTTACTAAAAATAAGTATGTCATCGAGGTACACGATGACAAACTTATCCAAGTAGTCATGGAGTCATAGCGTGCTGAAAGGTGCCAGGAGCATTGCAAAGGCCGAAAGGCATCACCACAAACTCATACAGACCGTACCTGGTCTGAAAAGCGGTTTTGTGTTGATCCTCGGGCCGGATTGCAATCTGATGGTACCCGGACTTCAGATCTATCTTACTGAAGTACCGACACCCTTGCACTCTATCTAACAGATCGTCGATGCGCGGTAGGGGCTCTCTGTTCCTTACAGTGATGGCATTGAGGCCCCTATAGTCAATGCACATCCTAAGTGTACCCTCCTTCTTCCTAGGTACGAATAGTACTGGGGATCCATAAGGAGAGACACTCGGCCGGATCCAACCCTTCTCTACAAGTTCCTTCAGTTGTCGGCGAAGCTCATCGAGCTCGCCTGGAGACATCCGATAGATCCTACCCTTCAGGATACTAGACCCTGGGATGATCTCTATCGCGTGGACGACCTCCCTCTCTACATCCCCTGTCGGCTCTTCAAATAGATCAGGGTACTTGGCAACTACTCCCTCTATCTCCGACGACATTTTCACCGGCTCGCCTACAGCAGAGACATAAACTAGGTACATACCCTCCTCCTGATTTTGCTTATAATAGTTATAGAATGCGGCTGCACACATGCATCCATGGGACTCGATCAGACTACTAGCTTTGAACTTGTGCAATCTGGCGGTCCCTCCACTTGGCAAAGTGTGCTTGACCACTTTTCGGTCCCAGTCAAACTGGGGCTGTGCCACAAAGAGGTAGTACATACCTAACAACATATCCATAGGGGGTTCATCTCTCACTAGGAACGAGACGCAATGTCTCAATTTCCCTCCCGCGTACGAGAAACAACATCAACATTCTGGAGGTAGTCGTTGACTACCATGCGCTGATTGTTGGCACAGGTCGACTCAGGCGCTGCACTCGTCCCTGTCAGCGCAGCCTCTCAACGCACGCGCGGCTAATAAAGTTCCTTGTCGAGCAAGTGTCATAATAGGCCCCGGCCTTGCGGCCGCCAATGACTACCTCACTGACGAACATCTCACCCTTCGGGGCTTTGACTAGGGCCGTCCAAGAAGCTACCGGGTCTGATCTAGACCACTCCTCCTCTAGCTCCTCTAAGGATTCAAACACATTCATCGAACAAAGGCTCGAAGGGTCTAAACATGTTTGTGGGACGATGTTGGAGTCGGTAGCTTGGGCCATCTCTCGAGATGGTGAGGGTGTCTCCACCACCTCGACCCTAGTAGGAACAACTACTATTCCTACTGGCCCGACGTGTTTCCCGGAGTAGAGCCTGAAGTGTTGGCTACATTACTACCAACGGGATGTGAGGATCCTACCGCCTGCCCCATCGTAGGCGGGATCTTGTCGGTCACCTTCTTGTTACGACACTTAAACTGATTATGGCCGTATTGGCCACAATGAATGCAAGCCTGCCGTGTGTACCGATCTCTCCACACGTCCTCTGAGAGACCTGCCTTCTCCCATGGGGGAGCGTTGGGGTCTACTTGACTCCTTGACCGGGAGCCTCCGCGACGTCTACCGGTCGCCTTACCTTTCTGAGTTACAGCAGCGACTTCTCCACCCTCTGAAGCATCTGCGCCGCCAGCCTCTGAACCTACTCCTTCCTGGAAGTGATCATCTAATTCGATGGTTGAACCATCGTTATCGACAAACATAATGCGCCCTTTCGCCTTCCATTTAGGAGGCAGTTTCTTCCTCCTTCCGTCTGTAGTGGGCGCCTGTCCATGCCCTATCTTCGCCTCAAGGTCTAGGGCCTTCTTGCTAAACGAAGGAAAGTTGTGCATATTGATGTTGGCCTCACCTGCCAACTAGTTCCTGAGAGGCAAAGAGAAGCATCTCAGGTAGGAGGTGGGTAGAACATGGGGGTCATAGCGCAACCCTGGGACTCAGATCAAACGCTCAACATCGTCGGTGGCTTCCCTTACCGACTTAAACTGCCGCGTGTGCAGTGTCAGGATCGCGTCAGTGGCCCTTTGGGCCTCCTTAGGATCATGCCACCTTTCCTCCACCAGCTTAAGGAAGTCATCCAATTTTTGGGTGACCGCCCAAGCGCAGAAGTCATGACCATACCCCTGGAGCTGCACTAAACCACTGAACCATCTTGCTGCACTACCCTCTAGGTAGGAGGCAGCCACAAACACTTCTTCGTACGGCAAGGTAAGTTTACAGCTGACATAGACTGGCACTGCCCTCAACCACGTGTCAAGGTCTTCGCCCCTCTTATCCCCTGTGAAGGGTTTCGGAGCGGCGATGGTCGTCTTTGGCACCCACTGTGTTTGTCCCGGTCCCTGCATCACTCCGGGCTGTGGACCCTGTGACACAGGTTGCTGTGCTAGTTGCTGGGGCTGTGTACCTTGCGGCTGTACAGTCTACGAGACAGCAGGCTGCGTGGTAACCACAACTTGCAACGGAGATTGGGTGAACATTGTCTGAACCGGAACCTGCAAACTAGATCCTACTGTGATCCCTCCTGATAGCGGCATGCCCCGGAAAACGATCGCAACTGATGATGGGACTACATATGGGGATACCCCAGTCACCGGTGGGACAAAAGGAGGAGGTTGTACAACGGGCCAGGCACCAGGCCCGGACATTGGCGACGTTGCCTGCGCTTGCCCAACCAACAGGGCCAGACTTTGTTGGATGTCCTGAAGGATGGCTGTCTGATGGTCTTGCATCTCAACTACATTCAGCAGGACGGACCATACGATCCTCACGTCATCAGTCACGTGCGTCAGGTCCATCTCCTCTAACTCCCTAATGTCCGCTTGTCTCCGTTGCATCCTGCCTCTTCTTCTAATCATGCACTCTTTCTCCGGTTTTATATCTCCTAACGCCTTCTGTAACAGTGCCTCCAGCAATGCTGCTTGTTGTATGGCGATCTCATCGGACGTCGACACTAGTGGCTGGCTTGCCATTGCGCCAGCGGACTGACTCTGGGTCTGCGCGACCGTTGACCCGACAGAACCTGAACTACTGGCCTGAGTAGTCTGCTGCGCAGAAGTGGCCATGGCTTCCGAAGTTGGGGCCTCACTCACAAGTGCCCTGCTAGCCTCTGCTGCTCTAGCCCTCCTCTGCTGCTGCTGCCTCTCCCTAAGCTGGCGGAACAGATATTTGTCGCCCTCTGGTCCTAATGCCAAGTGGGCAATTGGGCATCTAGCCGATCGCAATATCCTCCGGTCGTCCTCTCTAGTGTCCTCCTTGTCGCTCATAAGCAACAGCCCTGTACACAATCTGCACTAGTGCACTCTAAATGCCTACCGCAACGTAGTGCACAGACCAATTAACTGGTGGCTATTTCGGAGACTTTACACTCGGGCCCGACAGGTAAGTCAGATTCCTACAAATAAAACTATTTTTAGTTTGACTAGTCCGCAAACAGAAGCACCATGAACAAGAAACAGTTCTAACTAATGTTGTATGTCAGATGTCAATGGTTGTACACCTAACTAATCAAAACAAAATAGAACCATTTGTGTGGATAGGACAGTATGGAATTTTTCTCGAACTTATCACCTGAAATCTACCCCTCCCTTAGTTCCCCTGAGTATCACTTGACGTCAGCGTTCTTGAGCAATCTGGAGAGCGTCGCGTGTCTAAAGGTGTGTGTTCGGCCCACCCCTGTGCCCCGAGTATCTGCTGAGCTGGCCAGCCCTGCACTGGATTATCCTCGCGTGCAGCGAGCCTTACAACCATTGGCTGATCCAGAGGCAATTTAACGTCCGCCCCCAAGTGACTCCAGGAATTGTTTTAAGTCGCAGCCGGACGACGATCACAGCCAATGGTTCCCCTTCCGGTGCTTATTTAAAGACGCCCGGTCTCGTTTCCCTTAAGGGCTGGCTTGCCCTTCAGTACCCATCTAACAGCGCAGCAAGCCAAACAAAGGACAAGCAGCAAAGCATGCGTGCTCTGCTCCCGGTGGGTTGGCATGGTGACCGTGACCCAGTGCTTCGTCCAGAGCCCTTCAGGAAGCTCCGCCAATCTTCTCCCAGATGCTCCACGTGAACATTGCCGACTCTCAAGGTTGAGCGCACTCGACACCTCACAATAAGAGGACTCTCAAGAAGGAACACACAACCTCACGGTAAGAAGTGTCGAAGAGGGTAGATAAGGTTAAGAGCAACGTACCTCAAATAGTTGCCCCCAACCACAAAGATAATCTCACCAGATGACCAGATGTCGATTGTGATGACCAGCCATTGCTTCGGCACAACCAGCATTGCACGTCGTTCCACCTCAGCACCAATCACACATTAGATAGTTCTCATCACACTGTCCAGACCACATTACACATCTCGTAGCCTTCCCGGCGATCCCCTCACCTCCTGGGTCGCCACTCACTCGTCTCCGCCCTCCTCACTACACACCACTTACGATCCAACTCACCAAGCAGACCGCATGTATGTACCACATTAGGCAGAAGACAAGCGCCAGATGAGCGCAATCGTACCACAACTCCGATACCAAATTGCAAGGACGACGAGCAATAGCGAACTTCAGCAATCAAACAGCATCATACATACGAGTCCAGCTAGTCGTGACCTCGAACCAACAACAGAATTGCATCACGAGCTTGGACGTTTGACATTCTCCTCGTCCTTGCTGAGGCATGCGCTGGTGATGTGTTTGGTGCTGTTGCACCAAAAGCAGCATCCCCATTTCTGTCGCAACTTGAACATGTCTTCAGTAATGTCGAACTTTGTCCATGGTGCCTGTCGTGCTCCATCCGCCGACGCTGGTTTCGCCTTTTGTTTTCCCCCTCGGGGTCGTGAGCGTTGTGGTGGTATCGTTGCCGCCACATCTCCGTCACTTCATGTAGACGCGGCTGCGGGGTCCTCACTTGTTCCTTGCTGGACTGCTGCTACTTGCCGCGTCCATTGACCTTTGCCTTTCTCCACGTAACCGGGCTGTTGGCGGGTCTCGTTGGCCGCCCGCCAGTTACCTTGTGTGAGCTCCCTTGCCTTTAATATCATGTCATCAAAGGTCTCATACTGGAATTCGCTGCCCAAAGCAGTTGTCAAGGCGTCGCATGACCGGGCGAAGAACTCGGCCCGGATTGAATCGAATGGTAAGTTCAACTCCGGGGTGGCGACGAGTCTTTGCCACTCCGTCAGCCATTCCCGTGACGTTTGCTGGCCTTGGTATATGCGGAAGATCTTGTTCATGGCGTGCCGTTTGTCATTGTTGACCATGAACCGGGTCTTCCATTTCTTCTCGAATTCGTCCCACGTAATCTTAGTGTGGAGGTTGACGACGGTGCATTCCAACGTGACGGCCATGTGTGTCATGAAAGCCTGCGCCCCTCCGATGAGTTGGAGGTAGAGTGCGTCAAGCCGCCGATGTGCGGGGGTGTGATGTACATCCGCCTCCGCGTTGAAAGCCATCCACCATTACAGCGGATCAGTCTTGTGATAGTCATTGAACTTCTCGATCTTGAAGTTCGGCATCTTCCATTCCTTGGCGGCAGCGGCCGGTCGTTGCTCAACGGGGTCGCTGAGCGTCTGCAGCTGATTGCTGACTGTCGATGCTCCAGCAAACTTGCTGATGTCGCCGAGGGATGCAACCACGTGGTTGATCCGCTCTTCGAGTTGCTTGGCCTACGCGGCCAAAGCTGGGCTGCAGTCTACCACTGCACTGCCCGTTGACGCAGCTGCTGACAATTGTGCTGACCCCATGCTGACATCGGTCTGCAACTGGTCATTGAGTGTCTGTTGCTGGCTGTTGGCGACGTGTAGTGTGCTGATCTCGGCCTGCAGGGTCGCGATCTTCTTGTCCAATGCCTTGAATGTTGTTTCATGGCGGATGAAGACCTGCCGCATGGCCAACAGTTCACGTTGCTGCCAATTGCACGTGTACAACAAATTCTCCATCAGTACTGTTGTACCTTCCTTGTTACTTTCTTCCTCGGTCGGCTCTTCCCGCTCTTCGGTTTCTTGGAAATGTTGTCGTCGAAGTAGCCTGCTATACGTGGCTTCGTCGCGTGCAAGGTCCATCGTGGCTTGGTAACGAGCTTGGTGTTGACTTGCCTCGACCTGCTGCTGGTGCAACCATGCGGCTGCTCCAGCATCTGCTGCGGCCTGCTGACGTGCTGCCTCTGCTTCTGCCAGCTGGCGTTGTATTTCCTGTTGGCGGGCGGCTTCCTCCTCTTCCCACCTGCTGAGTTCAGCTGTCGTGGTCTCCGAGTAGAGCTGGAGCCGTTTGAGAAATGCTAGAAGTGGTTCATCGGCCTGCTAAACTGGGATAGGAGGGGTAACCGGCCTCTTGGGGCTGGCTTGTGCATTGTCGTCAGCGGTAGCAGCCATGGTCGTGCGTGGCCTGCGCGGAATTCGAGGGGTCCTAGGTCCCTGTTGAGGCTGGGCTCCTGCGGATCCGCGCTCGGCCACTCGTTGGCTGCGGCGCATCAAGTACTCTGGCCTTCGTTTGCTGCTGATGTGTCACCGCTGAGGTGGCACCTACTGATGTGGCACTGCTGAGGTGGCCGCTGCTGAGTGGCACTCGGCTGCCGTGGCACGCTGAGGTGGCACTCTGCCTTCGTGGCGAGAGGAGGAGAGAGAAGGTAAGGTGGGGAGGAGGGGCGGAGAGGCAAACAATGCGCAGACAGTCCCTTTCTCCCCTGACCTCGAAATTTGCCACTAATCAAAGGGGAAAAAAAATTCCCCCCTTAAATAAAATTTAATCCGAAAATAGTTCAAAATACGAATTTAATAAATTTTAATTTTGGCAAAAGATTAAATATTTAATTAAAGAATATTTAAATTTGCAATAATTAATTTCACAAAATTTAAATATTTAATTCGAGAATATTTAAATTTGCACAGATAAAAATAAATAAAGTTTAAGCAAGTTTAAACATTTAGACATAACTTCAATAATTTCATGAAATTTTAATCGGGAGAATTGAGCATCATCACGAGGTCACTAAGTAAGTAGAAGATGAATGGTAATAGGAAGATACACAATTTGCTAGGAAGATTCAACCTTTCAACGCAATAAAAGATGCATTTTGCAAAAAGTGAAAGTTCCGTGAAGTTGCAGTTTGAATGTGGCCGTGCTCAGGCCCGATCTGCCGTAACCGGCGTGGTTCCTGGCTGGCACTTCACATAGGTTGGATAGGCCGTTTAGATTAGGTTAGGACTAACCGTAGTTAGCGCTAATTAGGTTACTCGTAATTAGCGATTCCCTAATTGCGCAATATGGGGAGAAGTCGCAAAACCTAAACTATAATTGAATGACCTCATTACTATGTAAAGTACGAAAAAAGAATTTTTTTTTGCAACTTGCGATTTAATGATAACAGAGTGCAGGTGTAGATAATCAACCAATCAGTCAATCAATCAATTAATGCTGAGTTATCCAATGCTGGTCAGCTCCGATACCAAACTGTTGCATACTCGTGAAACACAGTCATAAGTATGGCGCAGATTCCCAGAACCGACCAGATAATACATAGTTAATACAAATGCAAGCGGAAGAGTTGATACCCATGGACTGACTCGGACCTGACTCGGACTGCAATCGAACACTCTCATTCATATATCGGGGTGTGAAAGCCCTGGCCGTAGACATAGACGGAGGCCAGGATCTGAGATCATCCACGGACGAATGGAGGGAGGAGGGAGACGAAGGGAGGAGGAGAGGGAAGATGGCGTCAACTAAATGTTTCCAAAGATAGTATCTTGAAATGTCAGAAGTGACGAAAATCCGAAATGTCGCGAATACCAAGTCTCACAATGTCTCAGATATCGATCTCACAATGTCAAGTACATCTTCAGAAGGAAGATGAAATCAGATCCCCAAGTAGTCCTCAACCTATAGTCCCAATGTCGCTGTTCCCAATGTTATCAGAATTCGTAACCATCCTTCTTACTCATAGTAGTCCCGTAGGAGAAACCCCGAGGTAGACTTAGACTGAGAAGGTAGGAGGAGAAAGAGAGAGAGAGAGAGAGAGGAGAGAAGAGCGGTGGAGGAGATGAGGGAGAGAAGGCGAAGCCTTCCTCCCTGGTACCTGGCACAGTAGCTATGGCGCTGCAAGGGGGGCTGGGCCGGTGACTGGCGCGGCGCCCAGTGCTGCGCTAATCCTTTCGCCGCTGAACTCCTGCTCTCTCGCTGCTCCTCACTATGCTGCAGCGCTGCGCTAATTGTACTAACGCTGAACCGCTGTGCTAATCAGAAGACTAACCTCTAGTCCATACTAACCTCCTACTGAGGCTGGTACCCAGCCTTTTGTAGTGCTGGGCCGGCCT